AGAATCAAATTGAGGGGAACCTGGAAAATGACATGGAAACTTCTCAGGAATTGCGCTGCCCCAAGGGCGGCCAGTTGCGCCTCGCTTTGATCGACTGTTAGCTGATGCTGCTACTACTACTTCTACTACTTCTACTACTACTACTACTACTACTTGAATATTATACATGGGCACTAGTGTTCGCAACGAAGGCAAGTGCACTCGAGCAAAGGGTGAAACATTGCGCATTGGGGGGGAGAGGGAGGCGTCACACATGCCCACACCCCCTCTCCCCCCTGACTTTCTTGTCATACTTGCGCTCAATTTCTTGCACTTGTCTTCGTGCCACCACTAGTGCCCACAGTGACTTAGCTTCCGAAGTATGACACTATTGATATCAGAAATNNATTTCTGATATCAATAGTGTCATACATCGAAGAAAATGATGCTTACTAGTATGATTGCCACTGTAGTTGTAGTAGTAGTAGTAGTAATAATAATAGTAGCAGTAGTACTACTAGTAGCAGTAGTAGTAGTAGTAGAAGTAGTAGTAGTCTTTAGTAGTAGTAGTAGTAGTAGTCAGTAGTAGTAGTAGTAGTAGTAAGTCTAAGTTGTCATTGTTGTTGTAGTTAAATTTACAGTTATTTAATACTCAGTCAAGTAGCACAGTAAATTTGATAGTGTATGAATTCATGACACATGATCATGGAGATGAGAAGGACCCCTTATCACTTCTGAGCAGGCAAGATCAGGACAAGGGCAAAAGTGCATTCGCTCACATGCCTCAAACACTTGTGACTCTGCCTTGCGCAACAAACGGCGCCCCTGGTTTTACTCCATGCGTGCTGGACTCATAGCTCTGCATGTGTCTATGGCCGTCAGCCCAAGCCTAATAAGGTTTTTCGAAGCACGTTCTCGTCATGTTTAAATGTGTCCCCTGCCTACTGCCTCCTTGTGATTGGCAAACTTTCAGGGATTCGAGCTTGACGGCCATCTGAGCAAAAAGTGAAACAGCCCCAAAAACAGATCACCCTCAAGTTCGGACAATCTGCGTGGCTGTCTCAGTCAACATCGGCCTGGCCTGATGCGCAAATTATCCATCAGTCACACAGGGGCAGGGTCAACCAGAATAGAGGCAACTAACTGACTGACCAAGGCTGCCACAGGATTTGCCGGACTCGGACAGAATGCTGTTAAGCCAGGGCTCCTCCGAGGACGCAATTCAGCCCCTGACGCATGATGACTAACAGTAGCTGGCCTGACTTGAACACATCGAAGCTACCATGATCAACCTAGCTTCCCAGCCCTAAAATCAAAAGCGGGGGTCGCGCAGACCCGACGCTGCTTGCATGACTTCATTCTGCTTTGGGATCCTTGCGCATGACTTCATGAACTATTAGATTGGGGTATTGCAATCATTCCTGCCTGATACTTCAATTCCAGCCCCAGTCAGATCTGAATAGTTGTCAAGCGCAATTGTATGATTCAGAGGCTGCGGGTGCTTCGGGCTAGGCCTGGCCTTCATCATCATACGGGTCGACTGCCGGCATGCCGTGGATGGAGAGCGGGCAGCCTCATTGGCAAAGGCACTTCCCAAAGTTCCTTCTCTCAAGCTGAGTCCAAGTTCCGTGCATGCGCAGAACTCGAGCCTGTACCGGAAGTTCTTCACGGAGCGTCGGCCGTTTCTGGCACATTTGACATGTTCTTGCACCAAACACTACGAAGCCAAGGGTAAACAACACATCCTACCCCACCCGAAGAACTCGAGCAGCTGCAGTCTGATGTACGAATGCAGCCACACCAGCCTGGTAAGAAACAGCAAAGCATCTGGTTGAAACGTGATCGCCGCTCTGGGATCCCCACTGGCTGTTCGAAAAGGCACTCGGCCTGAGGGCAGGGGACAGGTCGAGCTCCACACGGTGAATCCTCAGAGACCCAGAGCATGATCACTGACATTGGCACAGCTTAGACCGTTGTCTGAGCGCATCGCGCCCCTCTTTCGATCAAATGCTCGGGCTGTTCAAAGTTGAACATGAACTCAGTCAGACCACACGGGAGCTGATTCACTTTGAATTGTTGGGCTGAGAGCGCAGCGGTCAAACCTTCCGCCCGCTCGGGCTGTTGCTGAACAGCTGCTGGCGCTTCCCCAGGGGCCATCCTATGTGGGAACGTCCTGTTATCATCACTGTCCATTTCGTCAGGGTCGGCCGGATCATCGGGCTGCCGGCCGTATGATAACATTGTTCGAGCTTCAAAAATGGCTGGGGATCAAATGGAGCTTGTCCAGTATGGCAAATGGGGGTGAAGCGGGGCAAAACAGCACTGCCGACAATGAATGAGAATGCGCATCTGATCGTCACGCTGCAATGCAAATTCTGCTTTTCATACCTCGGACTGCGGTGAAATTCTCCAATATCCTGATCATCACCTGCAGCCGCAACACTGGCTACTATCCATGGAGCCTCTGCAGTCCAATTGTGCCAGCAATTCCTATACAGCTGCAACCGAGTGGAGTTCTGATGATGCTTAGCCAATCCTTGAATGCTCCCGGGCAGCCCTACCAAACTTGTCATCAGTCGCTCAACCACTCCTGCCTCCAACCAGTTGAAACGCCGTAAATGTCGAGCAGCTGTCCTTGGCAAACATAAGTTCCCTGTCTGTCACTGTGCTTCGTCATGCAAATGGGTTGTGCTGCCAGCTGGGGGTAAGACTATCTGCCAATGCAATGGCCTATTGAACCAGGAGGTTGCCACATGCTGGTCAGGTGCAAATGTACTCGGGTTCTAGCACTCATGATCACACAAGTATTTTTTCTTAGTAGACCATTGGTGCATTCCAGTCAATGTTAAACACGGCAAACTAGTAGATTTCCAGAAAGCCTCTTTTACACCTAATTTCAATTTTAAACTTTGAAGGCCTCCCTATCTGACTCACTGAGTTGGGCCAGCCACACTGATTACCCAACCCCCCTCCCCAGCAGGCGCATTAGCCCATCGCCCTGCCCCCAGGATGTGGGGGCGTTGGCCTCAAGGAGGGACCCTAGATACTAACGTTAGGGAGTGAGCCAGTTACCCCCGCGCTCGGCCTAAGGCGCGTTTTCACTCTGGCAGGTATCTACTGTGCCTTCCTGCTGCCAGAGTGTAGGTAGGGGTAAATTTGCAATCGGGCTAATTCATGGATAGTCTTATGGCTGTTGAAATCCAGCACCGAACAGCATGGACATTCCTCGGAGCATGTGGCTCACGGATCACAAAGACACAGGCAACCTGACAAGCTAGCATCCAACCTATATCAAAGCTGCCAAGACTCACCCAGAGGGCTGCATTGGAAATTTGGTAGCATGACCTGCCAGCAACAAGCAATTCAACATACTTGATACAAGAGGTCAAGCAGGCTGAAAGACATGCACTCTTCAATTTCAGTTGATACTACTAATAACTGCTTCCGTTGCTTCGGGCAGAAATGATACCTGCTCCTGACTGGCCACTTTACGGATTTGCGGAACCGAGCGAAGCACCACGACTAGTCATCTACGTGTGGTCATACATGCGCTGCTATACTCTCTGACACCCCAGTACAGTCCTGCTGGGATGGCTACTAATCCCTCCTGAGGCCTGCCACAAGGCCACCTGTCTGGCGGCAACCACCTGTCGAGCGGATGTGGCGTTTAAAACAAGGACAGGTTCACTTGGGCTGACATGGATAATGTCTTCCAACCTTGGACACAGCATTCAATTCTCTCCCCTCTGTCGCGCTGCGATTTTCGCTGCTTAAACTGAGCAAGATTGGGAAGCTGCCCTCGGGCTGGCTGCACAGCAACACGCTGAAAGACTCAGCATTTGAAATCACTAGATGGTATGCTGATGGAAGTGATGTGCTTGACTGCGCAACCAACAGCAAGCTTGGCCTCGCCTCAAGGCTGCGCAAACGCGAAACTTGAACTTGCATTTGGTACTGGTGACTGATCTTTCCTCTATAACGGCTGCGCGGCTTTAAAAACGGCAAGGACTTCGAAAATTGTCTCCATGCCCCAATGGCCAGGACTCACAAGCTCTTGCATCCACACTGCTGAGCCCATGCCATCCTCAGCCTGAACTCTTCATAACAATCAATTAAGTAAACACAGTTGAATGGTTCCCTGGCATTGCCTCATGATTCATATTTAACGCTCCAGCTGCGGGCGCGTGTGCTCGGCCTAGCACACAGAGCCTGAGGCTCCCTGTCCGCATTGTCCGGCACTTCGGACTCATCATCAAAATTTAAACACTTTTGGCATTACACACCGCAGGCCCCCATCCGAACCGGACAGGTCACCCACAACAAAATCGGCCTGGAATTCAAGATCCGGTGATCTCACTCCGAATCCTCCATCTCATTATTCTGGTCCTCGGACTCCGCAACATCGTCACCTTCATCGGCCTCCTCGTCCTCCTCTTCGTCCACATCTCCGATGACATTTTGCCACTCCTGACTCCCCAAAACAAACAGAGCACTTGAACCGCACCAACAACAGTAACATGTTCCTGAATCTATCATCTAACCTGTGATCCAGAAGTCCTCGGCCAAGGCTTCGTCATGTAGCGGGTTGCCTGGGGTCTTCATGGCCAACCTTAAGCACATGACATGGCCAACACAACAAACCTGGGTAGGCAGCTGTTCCTGAGCATTCAATTCTAAGAAATGAGGCGGAAGCATCACCAGCCCAGGGAGCTGTTCCTCGAGCAGCCATTCTTTGTGTTTGGCATTTCGAGCGGCGCCACAGTACGTCCTTGGTGCTATTTCAAGGGTAACCTAAGCTGGGTTACCCTTCAGGTTATTAATACCCCTCAAAAAGCAACATGAACAGCTTCTTGGACACTCTGACTCTCGGACTGGTATGTCATGTAATGTAGCCACGGCACGCTCCTCTCTTCGCCGCCTCGAGAGCTAGCTGGCCGTCCCCCGCCGTGAGATCGATCACGGCCTTGCACTGGATGTCCGCAAGCAGGGACGAGAGCAGCTTCGGGCTGTCGGCATGCCAAAACAGCGGAGATCGGCCTTCACCCAGGGCCTTTTCGAGCCTTTTGCTCATCTTCTTGGACTTTGACTTAGATGGGTTGAATCAAAGACAACTCAACAGCAACAGGGTCAAGCATGTTATTCTATCAAAACCGATGTTACTCAGTCATTCAGTCAAGACACGCCGTTATCATAGAGCGGTGCCAGGATCTCCTTCTTGAGCTCGGGCTTCAGCATGGCCAGCTCGGACAGCTTGGGCACCGGCACACCCTCGATGACATCCGAGCTCGTCCGGCCGCCGAGCTCACGATTGGCCACCTGCTCAGTTGTTGGGCTTCCATGCTGGCTGGTGATAAATCAGACAGATCCTGCCTTGAGCAGCTTCTTCCACGGCTCCTTGGGCGAGATGAAGAAGACATGCTCGGTCCGCTTGGTCGAGCCTTAATTGCTACCCACTGCTACCATGTTCAACACACGCCGCAAAAACATCTTGCATGTAGGCAGGCAACCGAATCCGCGCCCCTTTCCGTAGCGCTTTTCCATGTCGGGCTCGGCCGAAATGCAAAGCACTTCCTGATGCTGAGGCCAACGAAACAACTACCAGATGACATGCTCATAACAAGGCGCACGACTAGTTGAGCTTGTTGCACCGGCCTTTCGGTTCGGGAAGGCCCCCTGGTTGGTCTTCTCGATCGGGAAGAGGGTTTGGATCCTGGAGCGGTTCTGTTGCGACCTGCCGTCCATGATGACGAAGACCTCACTGAGAAATTCACATAGAAGCCCGAATGCAATAAGAGGAAGTCATGCGCCACAGCAACAGTGACGATTCAATCAATATCACTTTTGAGACCAAGGCCTCACAACATCTTCAATCTGCACACCGTGTCGACAACTATGATTCTGGTAACAATGCCTGCTTTGAGTTTCTGAATTACAGCTGGTGCTTTAAGAGTTCTGCCACGATGCTACTATACTCTGCTCAACTTAACTACAGTTACACAAAACAGGACCTGGAACCACTCCTTGAGGCATCCACTGGCTCTGCGGACAAAATTGCAAGGCAGGTTGCGTCTACCATGTGATTATCATGATAGCAGTTTGGAAATATTCTGCTGGATCCCACGCTCAACTAAGTTTAGAGGATGGCAGACTGAAGATCCAAGCCTGGCTGTAAAATCTTAATTGACCTGAAGACAAGAAACATGTGCTCGAACTCATTGACATGTGGGGAGTCGCAGAGGTGACAGGCCCGAGCGCAAGTGCCCCAATGACTGTTACAGCCCAGTGCGCAGTACTCAGGAACAGACTGGGTAAGTTGATTGCATTGTTGCGACGCAGACTTTGCTCAGTAATAGTGGCCATGTCTACTTACCTTTTGCATGTGGCAACACAACTCAGGCTGCGGCCCATCTTGGGCCCCACCATGTGAGATCCAACATGGCTTTCCCAAGCTCGAGCGGCTTGAAAGGCTTGTCGGTCAGCCTGACTTCAATAGCTCAATGAAAACTTCGTGAGTGCAAATGTCATGCTTGCGATGCACAAATTGCAGCTGAGGATCGGGGCGAAGATTCTGTGTGCGCTCGACATGGCCTCGGTCCAAAGTTTGGTGTTGATCCACACAACGCCCGTCTCGTTCGGCCCAATCTTGGTCTGCGAGGCCACAATCGAGCTGAAGATCTGCGCCTGGACGTCGCTGGGTTTGCCGGTCTCCGGGACAACAATGTCGAACAGTTTGGAGACTTTGGCTCGGGCTACAGCGCGCATGCGGCGCCGCAGCTCATCGGCCTCGACAGTTTATCTGCCTGGGCGCCACCAGCTCCATCTGGATTCGAGCTACTCGAGCCGCCCTTCAAGAACTCCATGATGTTCTTAATGCCACTCGAGCTAGGAAAGTCCTTGGCTTTCTGATCCAGCAGCTTCGACACTCGATCACCGAAGGACCCGTAGCTGAGCAGCTCCTCTATCGAGCACGAGGGAGCATTCTTCGCCAAGCCCCTGAGGGACTGGTCCAAGTCTCCGCCCTTGGATAGCTGCTGAGTCTCGGAATTACTGGTAAAGAAGTATCTTATTAATAAATTCAAGTGAATTTCAAAAGGTTGTTCTATACAAGATCACGCAGCATGCACGTCGTGGATGAGATCGAGCAAGAGCTGTGTGCTTTGCTTCTCTGCACTCATCCACGTGCAGTTCGAGCGGTAGGTTGCTGCGTGGTCTTCGGGATCCAGAACGGCCTTGCGGATTCGGCCTTGGGCGGTCTCACCGTGCTTCGTGATGACCTCCTTCAGGTATGTGTACCTCAGACCACAGCCAGCAGACAAACACATCAGACAAACACATCTTCAAGTGTTCAACCGGTGCCACAGCTTGTCTGGACAAGAAACCGGAAGCAGAGGGTCTCGAACAATCCGACCTTTCCCCTCGTGCCCGCCACATACTCCTTGCCCATTGTCTTCTCGAGCGTGTGGTCAGCAAAACCCGTCCGGATCGAGCGGAGGATGAACCTGTAGTAGTCCCTTCGGCCTGCGGCAGTGGCTGGTGATGTATGTGAGTTATGGTCAGCCATGTTGGGTGAACGGACAGATGGCCACTACTTGAACGAAAGAACTGCTGGTCTACCTGTTTCGCACCTTGCCTGCGGCAGACCGCATGAATCTAAATTTAAATTTGAAGGCAGCATGGCGCTTGGGTTAGAGCGTAGTAGCCTGTCACATAGCTAATTCAATAGAGCCTGTATACCTGGTGAAAATTTACAGAATTAGCCTTGCAACTAATTACACACCAGGGACATAACGACACAGACACAGACACCTCATACTGCACACACCTGCTGTTTCTGGGTGTTAGGCTCACAGCCGGAACAAGGCCTCAGATCCTTGATTATGGCCAGATCGGATGTCAGTTCTCAGTCATCATGGCTTGAAGCAGGTGTGCGCTGGGGCCTTCCGCTTTACACAGCAGTCCATGAGAAATCCTGTGTCACGGCTTTCTGCGCCTGCCTCGCCTTACCACTGGTAGAACAATGCCGCGCCCTTGCTTTGAAAGTGTGTGAAGCAGGATTTGCTCTTGCTTGCCAATGCTCAAAGGGCCTGACTGTGTGCGTGCAACCCATGGAGGTAATGATAAACACTAAACCCTAAGCTACTGTCCCCTGGAGCCCGTGCCTTCAGCATTGTCGGCCAGGGACCTCTTCTTCAGGCGCTGTCGGACTTTGGCCATCAAGGAATCCACCTTGACCCAGCCCGTGACGGGTCCGTCGAACCCGACAGTGGCCGCCTCCATCTTCTGCCACTCGGCCTTGAGATCGGGCTGGATGAGCACGTGGAAGGTCTGCATGCAGGCCAGGGCCCCAGCGGAGTATGGGCCCTGCAGCACCAGAGTTTCCACATTCATGATGGTACACACATAATACCTACAGCTAGTGACAGAAAAACGAATCAGGCCTTATTTTCCTTGTCGTTTTTCGAGCCGCCGTTCAAGTTGGCGGTCTCGTCTGTTGATCGGACTTGCTTGAACCAAAGAGGGAAGTCCTCCTTCTTCTTCAGGACCCCTTCGAGCGTCAGGAGCTGCTTCACCAGCATGACGTGGGCCACAGCCCTTGTCCAAGTGAGCCTGATCGTGCTCTTGGATTTCACGGCTTCATCCATCTTGAAAGTCTCGAGCATGATATCAGACTCCTTCTCGGCCTGGAACCACTTCAAGGGCAGCGAGGAGAGGCCCACAGACCAGGCTTTCACCCTCGAGCTCAACTCCTGTGCAATAGATGGACGTTGAATCTTCAGAAGGTGTGGGCAAGATAGCTACTGCAAGCAGGAGAACTCACTGAAATTACTGACAAGGTAACAATGCCACGCTGATTGCTTGGTCACTACCAGTGTCCTCGGGCTTTTTTTTGGCCCATTGATCGAGCTCCTTGAGGAAGTTGACGAGCACAGCCAGCGCCGCTTCCTCGCCCCATATGACTCGGACTTCATGTCTTGAAGGGGTAGGTGGCCAGCGCCGGCGGGATGTGCACTCCGATCTCAAGGTGCCCCAGCCCTTCGAGCTGCGCCGCCTCGGACTCCGCAAAGCTCTTGACGGCAGCCATGTTCACATTCTTGAGCGTGGAGACACGTAGCCAAAACACACTCCTTAAAACAACAGTTAACAAGCATGAACCAGGACCATGCAGCCATATCCCCTACAAATGCTGCCAAAGATCCCACCGGCCGTCAGGCTGGTCTTCACAGTCCTCAGCTGCGACGGGACCAGCGGCGCGATGGTGGCACCCTCACCAAGACCACTCGGACGAAGAAGTGTGTCTGGACGCACACCGCGCTGGTATGGGGCTTACTTGCAGGACCATTCACTCTTCAGAAGCACAAAAGGTTCTGGTGGCTGCTCAATCAGCATTGATTCTGCTTAGATCCATTTTGTCTTGGGACCCATCTAAATTTCAAAAAGTGCTTCATCAAATCCATTACTTATAGGAACACAGCTTCGCTGTCTACAGGAACCCTTCCACAACCGTAATGACAGTTTACCAACTTGGTGGGCTCATTTTTTCAAGCGCTGCAGCAGTCAGAGCAGTACTTCGATCTCACATATGCTCCTCTTCGTTGGCTGCACCACACACAGTTGGGCTGCCACTATTTGTGGCCCCAAAAAAATCCAGACTTGGGCTTAATCCTGAATCAGATGCGAAATTTGAATCTGCGATTTCACATCACGAAGTGGATACTTGCAAGCTTCAGATCTCGCCCAGTCTCCCTCTTGTGTGCTCAGCATTCCCCTGCTCGCCCCGGCACACCCCCTGCCAACAGAGTGCATCGCAAAAACAAGGCCTGTGCAGTAGAAGGACTGGCTATCATATGATGACTTCAGAAATTAAGCTTCAGGCTTACCTGGCCAAGTATGTAGCTGATGCACTCTGTGGACATGATGGCTGTGTAGCCAGAAATCAAACTGGCCCCTGTTCGGCCGCCCTTTATAATATTTGAAACAGAAATCGGACTTTTACTTGCCTTATTTCACTGGAAGGCACATGCGGCAAATCCAGCTATACCAATCGGACTGCTTGCTTTTCATAGCAGGGTCCGAGAGCCGCCGCACGCTAGCCCCTGAACACAAAACAACAGTATGCCTGGAAAGTCGGGCTGGCTCAGTTGGCAGGATCGTCCATTTGCTGCCGTCGCGCTTGGACATCTCAATGATCTGCTTCGCAAGTCCAGGGTACTTGCCCTTGAAGTCATCGAGCATAAAGATCTGCCTTGGCTATCGGGGCAGTAGCCGACAAGACACCAAGCACACAAAGGATCTTTTGAAACCAACAAAACAGTCAGGGACAAAACCATTATGCCATGCCATCCCTTGCGCACGACAAACAACTGGCAGCAACACTGCCTGCAAGTGTAACCAACATCGTCTTGTTATTAATTAGTGTCTTAAATACTACTTCAGAACTCAGAAACCTTAATCTGCTTGCAAGGCAGGGCTCTGGGCCGTTTGTGTCTCAGCTCGAGCCTTGCATGTCACATGCTTGGATCGGCCTATGTCTGGGCTCGCGCAAATTGTTCGGCCTAGAAGCATGGCTTCCGCCGCATAGCGACTCGGGCTGCCCAAGCTTGGGACTACCACAAGGTCTGCAGCATCAACACTGCCAACCTCGGACTGACCTGGCAACAGCTGAACTGCCTCAGCTCGCTTCCCAGGAACAATGAAGACCTTTGATCGGTCGTGTCCGTCTCTGGAACGCTTAGGCGGAGCTTCGAGCATGGCCTTCAGTCGGCGCTTTCGAGCGGTCAGGCCTGCGAAGGGGCCGTTGAGCAACTTCCGCATCTTCAATGCAGCTGTTGTCCCAGCTCGAAGTCCTTGACCTCGGGTCTCGAGCGCTTCTGATATCTTGGCCGACTTCTTCGCTTCCAAAGCCTTGTGGAGGGCTTCATGTTTCTCGGACCAGCAGGTGATGGCGTCTGGAAGCCTCTTCCCGAACATGGTCCTGCTCTTCGAAGCAGGCTTCGAGCTGAGGCGCCTTGCCGCCTGCTTCTGCTGCTTAATTCGGTCTTCAGCTTCGACTTTCTGGGACCGCGTGGGACTCCTCGAGCACGTGTCCCAAGCTCTGGGTGACCATATGGCCTGCGGCCCTTGCCAAAAAAATGCAAGTACTGCTGCATGGCATTTTGTACACGATTTCGGTGGGCACTATCCTGCGTTCCATTTCCATCCAAAATGTCCCGAAGTGCAAGATTAGAGCCATTTCCATCATTTTGGCTTGCTTGAAGTCATTGGATGC